CATACCTTTAATCCCAGCACTCAGGAGGCAGAGGCAGGTGGATCTCTGTGAGTTTGAGGTCAGCCTGGTCTACAAGAGCTAATTCCAGGACAGGCTCCAAAGGCTACAGAGAAACCCTGTCTTGAAAAACAAAAAAACAAAAACAAAACAAAACAAAAAAGGATGACACGTGTGGACCACCATGCTGGGGTTATGTAGTCCTGGCGGTCAAACCCAGGGCTTCGTACACAAGAGGCGAATCACTCTGCCAACTGAGCAACATCCTCAGCACCCTTTTTAAATTGATTTTGTTTGTGTTGTTTGATATTTTGAGAAAGGGTGTCTTAGAGCTCTGGGTCACCTTGAACTCGTGATGTAGACAAAGTTGACCTCAAACTCTTTATTCTCCAGCCTCTAGCTAGAGTCCTGGGATTACCACATCAGCTATCATTTTTTTTTGATGTTTTATTACTTTTTATTTGTGTGTGTGTGTGTGTGTGTGTGTGTGTGTGTGTGTGTGTGTGTGTGTATGTGTGTGCGCACATGCTAAGGCATGAATGTGGAGGTCAGAGGTCAACTCGGCAGGAGTCTGTTCTCTCCTTCCACCATGTGCATCCTTGGGATCAATTTCAGGTCATCAGGATAGCCAACAGGTACCTTACCTGATAAGCCATCCTGCTGGCCCCTCAGCTATCATTTCTGTCTGGTGAAGATGTTCCGAATCAATACATAGTACTGTTCACTTTGTCACAAATTGCAGGGATTTCATTCATTGTGTGGGTGAATGGTATTCCATTCAAAAGTAGTACATCTTCTGTATCCATTCACGACTTGATAGACTTTTAGGCTGACTTCACTGACTATTGTGAATAGAAGGGAAATTCCTTGATTTCATATGGCTGTCCAACCAGCAGAAAGACTGTGGGATGAGATGTTAGTTCTATTGTTAATTTTGGGCTCTTAAAAATGTTTCCGAGGGGCGGGCGGTGATGGCACACGCTTTTAATCCCAGCACTTGGGAGGCAAAGGCAGGCGGATCTCTGTGAGTTTGAGGCCAGCCTGGTCTACAAGAGCTAGTTCCAGGACAGGCTCCTTTGGAGAAACCCTGTCTCTTTTTGCTTTATGACGTGTTTCTCTCGGTTTTACCTTCAATATAGAACTTTTAACAGTGTTCACTGTCTTCAGTCAAGTATGACGGATATTACAACAACTCCCTTCTGTGAGATGTTTCTCACACTGCTGCCCAGATTCTCCAACAGTCTGGCTCTCTTTGCACACAGGTCTTAAGCCCAGGAAGGGTGCAATGAGCGCTTGAGCTACAGGGCATCTCACGATCCTTCTATCCTTCGTGCACACGCCTGCTAGGAGGGGATTTCAGAAGGCGACCAGGAAGTCCTTTATCTCTCAAGGACTTGGGATAAATTGTGCCTTGTGCTGTGTGCTTTGAAGTGGAATTGTTGGTTTCGACATCGCGGTTTTCAGACTTGAGATTCCGGAGACTTAAGATTTCATATTTTGAAATTAGTGATGTCCAACTTGTATATGTAACAGAGTGAGGGGCAGCACCGTCGACATTTTTTGACATCGAGAGAATCCAGGAAGGCTTTCTGGGAGAAGTCCAAACAGACATTAGGGAATCAGAAAAGGAAGGCAATCCTTTGGTGGTGAGGAAATATGGGCAGAACAGCCTAATTTAGTGCTAAGAGTGATTACAGACTAATCACTTAAATGTAATGTTTCCACAGATTAATAGGACTCTTCAAGGGTATAGCCATGATAATATGCAACATATGATATTTAGTCATTTAAATTTACTCTTTTATTCTGGGCAGTTGTAGCACATGGCTTTAATTCCAGCACTTGGGAGGAAGAGGCAGGAGATCATGTGAGTTTGAAGCCAGCATGGTCTAGAAAAAGAGTCCCAAAACAGCCAAGTAAGTCCACACAGAGAAACCTCGTCTGGAAAAAAAAAAAAGGAAAACAGAAAAAAAAATTACTCATTTAGTTATATGTACCTGTAATCCAGAACTCTGGAGGCTGAGGCAGGAGAATACAGATTTCAAACCCATCTGGGCTATACAGTAAGATCCCTTCTCACCTCTCACGTTCAATTCCTTTTTAAAATTTTTTTGATTGTTTTCTGGTTGGCCTTGAACCGATTGCCACTGGGTGTGGTGGTGCCAGCTTTTAACCCTACCTATTCAGAGACAGAGGCAGAAGCAGAGAGGTCTCTGAGTTCAAGGTCAGCCTGTTTTACTTATCCAGTTTCAGGTCAGCCTGGGCTAGTAGTGAGATACCCCGCAGCCTACCCCCCATCTCAAAAATAAACAAGCGGGGTGGGGGGGGTGAGAACTAACCCTAAACAATGACAACTTTCCTTCTTGTCACACACACCTCCACACCTCCCTGTGAACAACCACAGATAATATGCAAATTAAAAATAAATCTATATCATAAGAGTTTTCAACCCTGAGCTGGTCCCCCAATTTTAGTAGTCTATTGATTAGAGGCTCATCACCTTACTGTGTACATACATATAATTTCTTTCTTTGTGGTTAAAAACATTTGAAAACTCTCAGCCCTTTGGATTCTGACTAGTTGTCTCTAGTTATCCCTATAGAGAAAGTGTTTCCTGAGCTATAAAGCACCCCTGCTAACCTGATCTTTTGGCTGTTTGCCAATTAAACACAACAAAATAAACAAAACCCAAATTCATTTCCTGCATTTGTTTTGGCAGAAATTCTGTGATTTTAATGTCTTGGCTGTTTTTCCAGGTCTCACATGTCCTGGGAAAGGCTGAAACACACTATTTAGTTGAGGATGACCTTGAATTTCTGATCTTCACATCTTAACTTTCCTCAGTCTTGGGATTTCAGACATGTGCCACTGCTCCTGGTTCATTTAGTGCTGGGGATCTGACCCAGGCATTCTAGGTAAGCATTCTACCAACTGAGGCTTATCCCTAAGTCTCTTGCCTCAGAATGGAACTACAGGCAAACCTTCCTTTGCTTCCTAAACTGACTTCTTTGTTTTGGGACAAGGACTCAACTCTGCAGCTTTGGCTGGCCTGGTGCTTAACTGTGTAGACCAGGCTGGCTTTGAACTCAATGATCTGCCTGCCTCTGCCTCCAAAAAGCTGGGAGATTCAAGGTGTATACTACTATGTCTGGTCCTTGAGCTGATTTTCAGGTTTTCAGGTGAGGTCCTGCTGGTGTTGGGGAAAGCAGAAAAGGATGCGGAGAGTCAGGGATTGGGGGACGTCTCGGTTCAAATCTTAGTATTTTGTTGGCTTCGTTATTTCTGTTTTGTTGAGGAAATCTGTTCATACTCTGAATCGTGAGGAGAGAAACTGGAGCTCAGGTCCCACAGAGGCAGACAGTCTCATTCTCTTCATCCCTAACCCGAACTGGAATTACCAAAGGGAAAGGACAGCTCGGGCGGAGAGAGCATTTGTTAGGAGAGGTGCAGACCTCACAATGTGAGTTCAAAGACTGCCCTTGGGTCTTTTGGAACGGTTAGACAGGCCTCAATCCTCCAGTGAAAACCCTGCTATTCCACTTGTTTTAGGACAACCCTATCTGACAGATCAAGAAAAAATAAAGTCATTATTTTCAATTTATTTTATTTTCAAAGAAAATCAATTCTTTTCAAAAGTTGGTGCTTCTTAGCAATATCTTTAGAAGGCTGATTCCCTGTGTATGACTACTTAAGTATTGTGTACTAGTAGAAAATAATGTACAAATTACTTTTTCAGATCTAATAAAGCTTTAATTTAAGCAAACAACCGGCTAACTAACCCATCATTCCTTTGCTGTTCCTCTACACCAGCTAGCTTCATTTTTTAATTTTTTTTTATTTTTTGTAAAGTGGTGTGTATTCCAATTGATGACCAACCAAGCTCCAGACATTTATTTCATCTGGTAGAGTTCTCCTTCTGCCTTCCTGGACTTCATCTTTCTTTTTTCATTTTCTTTCCCCTCTCCTATTTTGAGTTAACCCTGTTTCAGGCCTAATAGTTTTAGCAGGATCATGCCTTCCTCATTCCAGACTGTTTCCAAATGTCTTTGCAACGTGAGTTAAGTAAATCTGGGTATCTATGCTCAACACTTTCAATAAGCTTCAAGTTTTATCTTCTGTTTGTATAAACTGCAGCACAACTCTGAAGTCCTGTTATGATTTGAACTAGCAAAACTAAAAAAACAAACAAACAAAAACAAAAAACCTTTTTGGTTGTGTGTACATCATACATAAAGCAGATCTTTTGTTTTTTTACTTTTTCAAAGCCTTTCTTTTTTCTTTTGAGACTACGTTGTATCTCTCCTGAAATAGCGGCCACAACGGCCTTACTAACTTGCTCTACAATGAAACGTTTACAGACACGTCCCCACCGTTCCCCAGGCGGGGATGCCATGGGTTCCCGGGAGTCTAGAGCTTCCCTGGGGTTCACCGACCAGGTAGCTCTTGGGAGCCGGGCCCTCCATCCCTGCACGCACCGGAGCCCCACACTCCGCCACCGCACGCTCCTCCCACCAAAGCTGCCAGCCGCGCAGATGGGAACCAGAACCAGATGTAAACATGGAGTACGCTGGGCACAGGCTGGTCTACGGGGACCGAAGCCCGTTCGGGGACTCCGATCAAATGGCTCTGGGAAAGCAAATCTACGAACTCGGACCAGCAGCGAACTCCAATGGGGTGGAGCCTAGGGCCGGAGGGTCCGGGCGGACCAGAGCCGGGGGCGGAGCCAGCACGGGGGCGGAGCTTTCACACGCGCCTCCCTGGCTTCTTCCTCCGCCCCCCAAGGCTCCGGCGTCTCAGGCTGCCACTCGGGGGTTTATTTGTTTACAAGCAGATTACGTCAGCTCCTCCCTCTCTTCCCGGCCTCTGGGCCCGCCCCCCGGCGGCCCTTCTTCCCGCCCCCTCCGGCTCCGAACCTGCCTACGTCACAATGGTGCGATCTCCGGATAGGCTGACGACCGCCGTCACGCTCCGGGTACGCCACTTCCTTTCCGCAGCGCTATAAAATGAGCTGCACGGCGGCGGCAGCTCTTCGCCCCTCGGAGCTGGAAATGCAACTCTTGGGATCTTCGGAGGCTACCGAGCTGGAGGCGGAGGCGGCTGGGGAGGTCCGAGCGATGTGACCAGGCCGCCATCGCTCGTCTCGCTCTCCCTCTCTCTCTCCTGCCGCCGCCTGACTTGAAAATAACTTTTTTACTTTAAAAGAAAGAAAAAAAAATCCCATAGAACCAGTAGCCGTCCGCGCCTCGCGCCCTCGTTTCCCCCTCGGCCGTCGGGTC